TGTCTGTTAATTATCATCACCACTCATACCAGCGGTGGCAAACCTACAGCACGCGTGCTGCTGTGGGCGCTTGCATCACGGAAATCTCAAAAAGCTTCAGTATCACTGCCTTAGGCATCTTGCTAATTCACAGCCATAAGATAAATCGTCATGGAAAATAGTTGCAAGGATTGCAATGGGTACAATTTAACTATCTGCATGTAGATAAATATGCCTCAAACCTCTACTATCTGTTCATCTCTATATACCTACGTATCTAGATACCTACATATCTAGATATCTATATCTATATCTATCTATCTATCTATATATCTGTCTATCTATATCTATCTATCTATGATTTTTTTAAGGTTTTTTTCTCTCTTATTAGGCAGCCACTTTTCTGTTTCTTTGACTAGAGAGAGCAAATTTTGTGAGAGGCTTTCTAAAAATATCCTTTCCCATCAGTGTTTCCGCATGCAAATTCCTTCAGATCAAAATCTGGGATATGAGGCAAAAAAACCCTCGCTGTATCCCACTTGTCACTCCTTGGGTCCCCGGTCCCTGGCTGATCTGATTTCTGCTTATGCCCCTAGGCTGGCTCCCCAGCCCTGGCTCTCTCCTCTTCAGCTTTCAAAGTCTTCTGTTGTTACCATACATGTCGGTGTCTTGGTTACTCTTCTTGTTGCTGAGATAAAACATACAGAGTCCAAAGTTAAAGGGGGAAATGTTTGTCAGGCTCACAGTGTGTGGGGGCTCAGGCCACAACAGCTGGCTCCAAGGAAGGTGGCACATGGCAGAGGGACAGTAGTTCATAGTGACAGAAGAGAGCAAAAGCAACAACAGAGAAAAGGGACAAGCCTCTTTTGGTCCCTTCTATTGTATGCAGGATCCCTGCCTGAGAGAATGGGTACAGCACTCACACCCTTAATTCCAGCACACTTAGTCCCAGTATTGCATTACTAATCAACCACACACTCCAGATTCAGCTACCTCCAAACAAGCCCAGTGACTGCATGAGGTTTTGGGGAGCACATCTAGATACAAACCCGACAGTATACATCACGTCCTGTGCTCTAGTAGTACTTGGCAGGAAAAAGCACGTCTATTCCATCTTTCCAGAAATATAAGTCTTCTAATTAAAGTTAACTTTTCAGATTCCATTCGTCACTTATATTGTGTTTGTTAAAATGGCATCATTATTATGGCACTGCTGAAAGGACTCTTAAGTCTGCAGCTGAAGGATAGCATGTGCTGGAATTACCAGAGTGTGTGTCAGAGAGAGGGAGAAAGAGAGAGATGGGGAGAAAAAGGGGAGAGAGAAAGAGAGAAAGAGAGAGAGAGAGAGAGAGACAGAGACAGAGGGGGAGAGATCATGAAAAATAAGCTCATGCAGTTGATGAGGCTGAGGAGTTCTAAAATCTTCAGGGTGATCTGGTAAACTGAAGACACAAAGCAAGTTGATGACTTAGTATGAAGGGCTGGGAACTGCAAAAGCCAATGGCTGTCGTTACAGCTCTAGGGCTGGCAGACTTGCAACCGAGTAAAATCTCTCCTTCCACTGAGTGTGAAGGAAGGAAAGAGCCAGCGTTCAATTCAAAGGCTACCAGGCAGGAAGAATTCTCTCTTTCTTTCTTTTTTTTTTTTTTTTTTCTCTTTCTTGAGAGACAGTCAGCCTCTTACTCCACTCATGTCTTCAACTGACGAGACTAACACACATTAAAAGTGCAATCTGACTGGACAGTCACCTGGCCTGCTAACGTAAGTATGACTCCTACCTAAAATGCCCTCACAGAAGCACATGAGTAAGGTTCAGCATGTAAATACCCAAGTAGCCTGTGGGCCAGTCAAACTGACACATAAAATTCAACATCACAGTAGAAATACCTAGAAATTCATTAAACATGCATCATCCCACAGTCCTTTATGAGTTACAGTACATCAGTGGCAACATGTTTTACAAAGAATGATGAATCTACAAAAAAGTAAGACTGAAAGGGATACAGATGTTAGAATTCAGTCTTTTTTGACCAATTTCAATTCTCTCAACTCATTTTTTATAAATATGCCTCAAACCTCTACTATCTGTTCATCTCCAGTATCCTCCCTCCACAACAGAACGTGGTGACCGTGTCATGACGCGCACCCCAGGAGGAGAGGAAGAGTGAGACATGTATTTTCTCCCATTTCTTTTCCTATTTTCAACACTTGTGACGAAAACTATTCAAATTTCTGCACTAGCATCAAAACACTTCTCTATGTTTATACCACTTCCAGGCTCTGGGAAATGGAGCTTATTTTGGGGCTCATACAATTGAGAGGTTTTTCTTCTCCACAGCTGAGCTGCAGTGGGTCAGTCACGCAGGAGCGCTCCAGCCCCAGCCACCACTCCTGACCACCATGCTCTGCTCATACCCCACGGGGACTCAGGCACAGACAGCTCCTTTGTCGGAGTCACCCACAGTGATTCAACTAAGCACAAGCTGTACAGAAGTTTCAGGGACACAACCAAGCATGTACCATGCCTACTTCTTTCTCTTTCTTTTCAACACTAAGAGTTGAGCTGAGGACCTCACACTCCTTAGGTAAGCACTCTGTTTGCCTAACGCGAATTATATCTCTAAATCCCTCCACGAGTAATTTTAATAAAACTTTGTAACCTTGAGGTCTAAAATCGTCAGATTTGAAATCCTGAAAGAGTACATGACATCACTTTTTAGAATGGTTTTAAAATTGTGGGTTTCCTGCAGCTGCAGTAGTTGAAGGGGTAGGGACTGACCTAGGAAACCTATTGTCACCACAACCGTGTCTTGAGTTGGAAGAACCCCAAGGATCAGCCAGTGTTGGAGGTTACTCTTTCAACTAACAGAACTATAAATTGTAACAAGACCCTCACATTTTGCTTCTGGTCTTACGTAGTTATATGCTGAGGAAATTGCAATCGACTGGACATTTAAGGGATTTGTGTAAGATATTTTGCACTGTATAATCAATTTTGTAAAAAGCAGAAATAAAAATAGAAAAGTGTATCGTTTTAAAATATGACCTGTTGCTGAAGAGAACAAAATGACCTGCTATAAGAATAAAGCTTAAGGTAAGAAGATGAGAAGTACTGCGGCACCCTCAGAAGCCACGACCCGGCTACTCTCTTCCACTGCACTCGCAGGGGATAAAGCACAAGCCACAGCTGCTCACCTGGGTGCTGAAGTTAACAGACCCCCTCAGCCCCGTCCCGGGGTCTCTGGCCACCTGCAGGCTGACAAGCGAGGCTTTCCTCTGCACCACTGCCAGCCGAGAGCCCACAGCGAAGGAGATGAGGCTCTGAGCCCCGCGGCTCGGGAGGACCTTAACCCGCGCGAATCTGGCACTGTCATTTATCGCGGCTCCGGCAGTGACTTCATAGAGCTCCACGAAGAAATGATGCGTTTCAACCAGAGGCATCTGACAACAGGAAAGGGGAACATATGCAGCTATTAGCACTGTCTTTCTGTATTTGAGATGATTCTAAAATTAAGAAATGGTATCATTTGTGTCTCTCTGTGTGTGTGTGTATAAATCAAATGATAAAAAAATATACATTCTGCATCATTACAGAATTAAATTCTCATGAGATTTATTTTTTGGTCTTAAAAGCTACATTTATCTTAAGTACCTCTAGATCCAAGTCCAGAAATAATCTATGTATATTTAATAAGCAAAAGAATAAATAAAATGTATGCATACCATAGATGACTATAAAGCACTTTAAAAGAATTACAGGATGGACTGGTTCAGTGTTTTCAACATAGGTGGATCTTAAAACAAAAGAATGAGTGAAAATAGCAAGTTTCAAGATGATACACAGGGCATGATGCTGGAAATACGAAGTTCAAATTATCTAGACTTTGCTACATATTGTCAGGAGATATTTTCATAAAGATTAAAAACAGCAGAAAACACCACAAATGACAGCTGCCTTCTCAGGTAAACGCAGGGCAGGGCATAGAGCTGAACAAACACTGTAGGCAAGCAAACAAAAGAAAATTTAAGTCTGTTAAGGTTTCTTTTTATGACACTTAGTTTTAGAACTATGACCAAATACTGGTAGCAGTCAACTGTATAATGTTTCAAGATTTCACAAAATTTAGCATCAAATACATTTAAATTTATTCTACTGGTTGTTTTCTCATGTTCTACTTTTGTTTTCTCAACAATCTGAAATAATGTAGTTTCTAAAGTCTGAGCTCAGATTTCTAATGCATGACGAATCACCTGATTTCAGTGATTCGACCTTAGCCATCTACGCCCCAGACCACCCCCTGGGAGCTGAGCCGGGTGCTCTCAGCTGCACCTGTCTCAACAGAATGCATCATTTTTATCTATCTGCAAAGGTCTTATTCATCATTTGTCTTCTGACCTTTTAATGTTAATTACTATGTCATAAAACAACACAAAAAACTTCAGTACTATCCAAGAACAAGGTAAATTTTAGTAACAAAGTAAACACTTTAATCTCATGTTGCTGTCTGACGAACTGGGTTTAGCATTCTTTGGAACGTATTCTTCACGTTGCTGGTCAGCTGCCAGGAAATATGGAAATATGGACTAACCGTATTGTCTCTACTTTTGAGAAGCCAAACTTGGCAAGTACAAAAAACTAAAGCACCAAGAAAGTAGAAGTAATTATATTTAAGAGCTATTATTCCTTAATGGCCATGTGAGCTTGGATTCACAATAGCTACTTTTAACTTAAGCGTTCAGAATATTATATTCCAGTAGAGATTCTTGTCTTTATTTCGCAGTAAAATATTCCTCTCCATTGTGATGATAATTAGGATGCTACTTACAACTACTTACAGTCAAAAGAATATGTTATACTCTAAGGAAAGAACCATCCAAAATTAGGTGATGCCCCAGGCGCCTACACATAATTAGGCTACAGACTAAAGGTCTCTTCCAGTCACACAAAGACATTCTATAAAAAACACATTCCTGAAGTGCAGGAGGAACTCAGAGCCACAGGTCACATCTGAGCCCAAACTCCTAAAGGGGACAGGAGACCCCACAAGATCCCATCCCAGCTGGCTCCGCTCCTCCTTGGCTCAGGACAACCCAACTAGTAGAAAATGCTATTTCCTGGGCTCAGAACTGCTCAGAAGCAGAAAACCGAAGTAATAAACCATATCTTACATAAATACATCCAAAAATATGTGCAACAAATATTTAAACATATGTAACAGCGAAGTTCGTGTCTGTTAATTATCATCACCACTCATACCAGCGGTGGCAAACCTACAGCACACGTGCTGCTGTGGGCGCTTGCATCACGGAAATCTCAAAAAGCTTCAGTATCACTGCCTTAGGCATCTTGCTAATTCACAGCCATAAGATAAATCGTCATGGAAAATAGTTGCAAGGATTGCAATGGGTACAATTTAACTATCTGCATGTAGAATACATGTTTTCATTACTGAAACTTCAGTTCCTCATTGTCCCGGTGATTCAAAGTGTCACCTGATGAGAACCTCAAGGAAAGTCAGACAGAATACTATGATATGATAGACCAGAAGAAAATCAGTGGGAATGCAAGAACACTGTCTAGCTCTCACATTACTGAGGTATTCAAGCAGAAGCATATTTGCCCAGTATCCACATCATGCACCTCTAGTGCACAGATTTCCATCTTTAAAATAATTTCTGATCAAAGAGATCGATCCCTTGGACAACAGCTCAGTGGATAGCTTAAGTTAGGCAACACTAGTGCAACTCTGAAACACACAGGCGATGCTGTAAACCCAGTCCCCCTCCAGAGAACCTAGTAGTAGTGCTGAAAAGATAAAAGATCATTTTACTGAACTTTCAGGGATCCTGAGATGATTACTTTATAGCATTTAGTATGTAACAAGAAATACTTATTTTTTTTTTATTTTTTTTTTTGGCAGAATAGGGGATTAAACTCAGGCCCTTGTGCTTGCCAGGTAAGTGCCATGCTAAAAGGAGATAAATTCTTAGAGTATAATAAGAGTAACTGTAATGTAAGTGTGTCTCTAAAAGTACTAAATGTTTGTGCCCTGGTACTGCATGCTGTGCTGGTCCTGCCTCAGGTCGCACTGAGCTGGCACCGAGAATGGGTGTGGTAGTGCATGACTGTAATCCCAGCGCTGGGGAGGCTGACAACAGGAGGATCAGTATGCTTCGGAGCTGCACAGTGAGACCCTGCACCAAGTACATAAATTAAAAAAACTAAACTAAATAAAATAAAATGTACTGAATGTTGTATGTACACAAGGTTAACATCAAGACAGTTGGGGCTTCTGTTGTGCACATGTTCATTAAGAGATAATAAACACCTTTCTCTGTGTGTGTATATAGGAAAACATTAATAAAAACAGCTGAAGATAAGTCAATTACTGCTAGAAAAAGCAAGAACTGTTCTAGGAATGGGAATAAACGGTGAGCACCCATGAAACCCAAGTGAAGCAGAAAGAGGGCCAGCAGGTAGCGCACTGTAATGCACATGAGGTGAGACAATCCTGATACAGAGCAGAGGGCTGCATGGACTGTGGCCGCATCTCTCAGGAGACAAGCATCTCGGATGCCCTACTTTGGTTGCCCTACTCCACAGGACAAGAATCAAGTATGACAGACAGGTATGCCCAATAGCCCTAACAGCTAGCTCCAAGGGCAACAGGGAAGTGGTAATGTAAAGCTGGTGCTGCAAAATAAATAAATGAGGGGTGATAAACATGGTATTAAAATTAACCTGAAATGTATAAATTAAAAAGAAAACACACTGGTGCCATATTATGGATTAGATCCAGAATGCTCAAAAGTCTCCCACATTCAGAGGTGGGACCATGGCAGCCCCATATCAGTGGATTGAACCAATGAAGAACTCAGCCCAGGAGCTGTTGGACACAAGTGGTCACCAGCATTGAACCTTTGGAAGGTCACCACCCTGGCGGCCCTTCCCTGCTTTCTGCCTCCTGCCTCCAGGAGGTGAGTGGCTGTCATCAGCCATGCCCCTCCCCACAGCTATGGGCTGAATGTGCAACAAGCACAGCCACAGAGGAGATCCTAGGCAGGTAACATGCGCTTGCCTTTTAGGGCCACTTGGGATAAGAGCCAGATCCCCAAAAGATCAAAGTCATGGCAACTGAGGGCCCATAACCTTGGGGGACCAGAGACAAGTAGGCTTTCTCTTTTGCAACCAGTAAAATTATTAAAATCCCAGGAAGGTATGAAAATATGTATCAATAAATCTCAGAAAAGATGAATATAGCTGTTATAGTCATTCTCAAAAGGTGAAAACATAAAAATATGAGGAAAAAAACCTACGGGACTGTTATTTTAAAAGAGACTTGGGTACAGTTACATGTTTGAGGTAAGTATATCTGCACGTGCTTCTCGGCCAGTTAGTGTGCAACTTGTGCAAAGAATTGCTGCACTCTCAAATTTTCACACTCTGGTGACTAGCTTTTATGTTAAATGGCAAGAAACAGTGTAAGAACCTGAAAGAGTAAATAAAATCTGAAAGGTAGAACAGCTATAGTAAAAGCGAAGGAAACTACTCAAAATGCAGGAACAGTTGGGACGAGGGGAAGGAGAAAAGAAGGAAAGAGAGGGGAAAAACATGTGCGTGTTCACACAGGATAGCTAGGATGACTGGACTACTAATGTCTATTGGCTTTTTGAAGGGATCAGTTGATGCTTAAAATTTTTATTCTGACCAATATGACATGCTTATATCTGGTATTCCGAGCAATTACTTTGAAGACAATAATGTGCCATATAACAGCCACTGTTGAATACCTATTATTATCTTGTTCTCTGAAATTCTGTATCATTGCTAATGGTTTGTCCATTATTTTTTACTCCCTTTATTACTTTTCTTTCTTTCTTTTCTTTTTTGATGTATATTGTACAGGGTCTACAGGGTATCACTACCTAGACTGGACTCAGTGATTCTCTTGTTTTCAGCCTCCCAAGTGCTGGGATTACAGGCACATACCACCATGCCCAGTCTCAATCACCGTCTCAGTGTGCCCCGAGGGTGGGACCAGCATAGCATGCCAGGGATCGAACCTGGTCCTGTGCCTGCTTAAGCAGGCGCTTTAGTCCTTTGAGCTATCTGCTGGGCCCTACTCTCTTTAAAATAAGAAAAAATAGCTAAAAATAAATAAATAAGAAAGAGATGGGCTCATTCACAAGATTCCTAATGGCATACATTCCAAGTCTACATTCTAAGTCTAAAGCCTGTGGTGCAGCCAGTACACTTAGACACTACGGCCCCGTTAACCACAAGCAACTCCACATAGACAGCAGCGAGGCCTCAACACAGCGGCTTCCCAACGACTCTTTCAAGCGAGGCGGTGAGGACTCCACACCCTGCACCATGGACGCGCTCACCTTCTCGGGTCTGAGCTCCAGGCTGATGAAGCACTGTGCCTGGCCCGCTGAACACGTTGTGGTCCCCGAGACAGCCAGCATTTCATCCCGCAGGTTCACTGCTTCCTTCTCAAGTATAACGGCTGATTCGTTCAGGGAGACTCTCCAGTGGACCTGGACATCTTCAAAGGCCCTGGGAAAAGTGAACCCACACGCACACAGATTGTGACACGGAGCGTCAAGCTCAGTGGGTCATCACTGCTGAACCTGCTCTGCCACTGTCGGAGCTGAAAGCAGCCCTTTCTCCCCGTCGTGGACAGGAAGGTTCAGGCTCAGATGCGCTCTCTAATTATGCTCTAAGTGGTAACGAACGCCTGTCTGTGGAAACACTATGCCAGGAATGTGAGAAGCCCTGACTTCAAGAAAACGTTTTTCCTTTGTTTTTTAACACAATTTTCTCTAAAGGAAGAGCATTACTGTGAAAGCACAGTTATTGTAAAAATAGAGCATAAATGATGCTTTATTACTTCCACAGAATATTTATACCCAAAGGAGAATATGTAATGAACAGGCGTGTGCATGTGTGCATACCGAGTCAGCACTCATGATGAGCATTCGAACATGTGTCCATATGGCTAATCTGTAAGTAAAGCTTTGGTACCCAAGTCTTCCTCAGGATATAACGCTTATGTATTTGGAGTCAGCACAGAATAGCACGTGAAGACACTAAACCACAGTGATACATGCATAGCTGCGGTCATAGCAGCAAAATGCATGACAGCAAAATCTCGGAGGCAGCCTATCCGTCCATCAACAGGTGAGCGGTAAGAAATGGCGGCATCCACACACCGTGGAGCAGCCCTGCCAAGAGCGAGACAGTGAGGTGCTCGTAGGTGGATGGAGGCATCTTGTGAGCTCCGCAGCAAAGGAGACACAGAGATACGCAGGCTTCACATACGAAGAACTGAAAATACAAGTAAGTGCAGGGTGGAGGGTGGATAACAAGAAGTAAAATAACCTTTTTTCAAATAAGTAAAATAATGTTTTGCAAATGGGTGGGGAATGAGAGGTGAAGGGAGGGCAAGGGAAAGGGATTTATAAAAGGAACTGGAGGGAAAAAGGATGAAACTAGAACTACAAATGAAGAATGGACCAAGAATTGGGTGGAACAGAGAGAAAGGGGATAAAGGAGAAACAATGACTACAATACATTATGGACATGCGCTGACGCCCCACAGCTGCGGTTACTGCGTACAGCAAACACATGCTACTGAAAAGCCATGGCAGACGCGATGGGGAGTCTTAAAAGGCTGAGCTCTGAGCAGTGCTTTTTCACGTGTGAAGCACTCTGGGCAGCACTGCTCATGATCAAAAGTAAACATGCAAAATGCCAGATCAAGGCCCGGAGCACCTTGGGACCCCACACGCCCCGGCCAGCTGCCACAACCACATGGACCCCAACACAGCACTGCAACTGCCCTCGTGTGTGCACGCACACATGCACGCACGCACACATACACACACGCCCACACACGCATGACGCCTGCCTGCGTGCACCTGTTGGGCTGCCTTGTGACGACGAGGCGCAGCCTTCTCTCCTCAGGTCCTGCCCCCAGCTCCAGCTCCCTCTGGGAGCCCTCGCTGAATCCCACGATGCCGTTGTGCAAGTCACTTCCTGAAAGGCAAGGTGGAGGCTGTTGCCTATGCAGAGTGCGAGACCTGAACGCCCTGCAGCAGTGCCATCCCAGGGAGCACTTGGCAAGCGAGACACTGGCGGGGAGGGTGGGAAGCACAATTTTAAAGGCCTTACCAAAAACAGATTTAAAAGCAGGTACCATGAAGGCAGATAACTGAGCAGAGCAGACTGGAACGAAGCACACATCGATCCCAGCCGCCACACGCATGCACGCATGCACACCCGTCTCTGGTGAGCGCCGTCTTCCCCAGGACAGGGCTGCATGCTGCACACGCGCTCACCTGTGGCCACATGAGGGCAGCCCGCCTCTCCCACCCCGTTCCAGCGTGGCAGCAGCTGTTCACTTACTGCTGTGTCCCCAGCACCAAGAGGAGTGCCGAGGCGTGGCAGGCATTTCAGAAACACTTCATGAGTGAGCTATATGCGACTGATCACCTTCCTGGGACAGGGCTGACCAAAAGGCTGCGCATGGTGAGCTTTCGGTTACTTGCCCCTGAACAGAACAACCTATTCAAGTCCTGAGCCTGTGTGGAGTGAGAAGCTGCCCTGAGCACCACTCGCGGCTATGGGCACCATCGCACTGGAAGAGTCTGTTTACACTGGAACAAACCCCAGGTCCTTACGACGCCGAAACAGCCACTGCACACCCTGGCCATGCCCACGTGCATGCTGGCACCACAGACCTTTCCACGTAAAGCTTCAGCTCTGTGCTAGCTCCCAGGGGCCTAGGTTTGTAAAATGACCCTAGAAGTGATGATGCTAAAGCAATTAACTTTTTAAAAATGAAGCTAGTCATCACCCTAAAGCCTGTTCCTGGGGTTCCATAAGAGAGAACTTCTGAAGATAGAGATGTACGTTAAAGGGAACAGAAAACCATGCAGGTCCCCATAAGGGAGAGCCAGCATCCGGCAGTCCTGGCCTGCTGCCTCCCAGGAGGCTGAAGTCTAAGGAAATGCAGACCGTGTGTCACGGACACACACGATGAGACACCCCTGTCCTGGTGCCGATCCACCACGACCTAGCACCAGGGCCTGTTAGGGGACATCTCTCTGGCAGCAGTTTTCTCCCTGTCCCTTTTGGGGGAGCTTAGTTCTTCTCGTATAGATCACGTACTTCTCACAGCAGAAATTCCACTTGCTTGTTCAGCACGCCTGCACCCAGCAGAGTCCTAATAGAATGAACCCTACCCTTGCCTCCTCTCCAATGCTAAATGAGAGTCAAATTTCTAGCAAGATTATTCTAGGTTTCTAACACACCAGTGTCGAAACCAAACCTATCTCCTCCCTGATTTACTTTAAAAATGTGATATATAAAAAAAAAGTCTAGATACAAAAGTATTTCCAGCTAGGCATGATGACGCACACCTGTAATCCCGGCACTCGGGAGGCTGGGTAGGAGAATCACTGCAGACTTTGGGGCTAGTCTGAACTACAAAGTGAGTTCAAGGCCAGCCTGAGCTGCACAGCCAGACCTTGTCTCAGAAAGAGGAGGAGGAGGAGGAGGGGGAGAGGAAAGGGGAAGGGGAGGGGGGAGGGGGAGGGGGAGAAGGAGGAGGATTCTATGAAAAATAGAGAACAATCATCAACATAATGATCCAGTAAAAACAGGAATATTACTAACAAAAGATCCCAGGATGGGAAAGACAAGGAGAGGAACATCTGCTGGCAGTCAAGGATTGCAGGATAATCTGACTGTGTGGCAGGGACTAGAGGTGGCACTAAAAATGGTACGTGTGGCACTAGGAGGGGTGTGGTGAGGAGCCAATGGTCTCCCAGATGCATGTGCCACCAGTGGGCCCTCTGGGAGGAGCAGGGTAGACCAGCAGCCAGCCAGGTTCTTTCACCGTGTGCAGTGGCCACCAGCCTGGAGCATTCGGCTCACAACTCACAGCTCACAGCTCCCAGGAGGGGAGGCGCCGGAAGCATGTCCATTCCAGGATGTGCCAGCAGCCATTGGAGCTGCCAGCGAGCCCTCAGCCACCTCTCTCATGATCTCCAAGAGCAGCAGGGAGGCCCCAGGAACCACTGGGCCGGGCAGAACTGTGACAAACACTACTCCATGTGCTCACTGTCAGTCCTGGTTGTATTCAAATCATTTTAATAAAATACCTATAGGATAGGATGGGGAGGAGTGTGCTGACTGCCAAACTGACATTAATAATGGTATGGAGATGACATTAAGCCAACGTGAATCAATAGGAATAAATGGCATTAATTCTCATTGGTATAAATTGGTAGGCAACATAAATGGGAGATATTGGATCTGAAAATAAGTTGACTATAAAATTATGGCTGAATTATAAATGAGTGGGTAACATATAATGAAATCTAGAAAGAACCACATTCTATAAGCACCTTTTGATGTCTGTCTCAGCACAGTACTGTGCTTTTTCAGACTGCTGAGACTAGAGTACATTTCAAATGTTCTCACCACAAAACAATGTGAAGAGATGGATACGAGGAGCATCCTGACCAGCTAGAGTCAGTGATTTCACGTCATATTTTAATGGCAACATCATTCTGTGCCCTACAAGTACATTCAAATTGCCAGTTTGTAATAAAAGGATTTTAAAAACCAAGAAATGGCTTTGTTTCTACTCTCATTAATGTTATGACATTTGACAAGCCGATCTATTATACTTAAATATAGTATGACTTCAGAAGTAGATTGAAAATGATCACTGAAAGATTACATAGGACACATGCAAAACCGTTAGAATTAAAATTCAAGCTCTTAATACTTAATAGCAGAATGTCTGTATCAACTATACTGGGTCAAAAATAGACCAAAAAATAAATAGAAGTTTTCATCTATTTCACAACAAATACAAAAAAATTCTTAATGAGATCTTTGACCCAGGATGGATTACTGAAACTGCTCAGTAAATTTAGCACGAGACTTTTAAAATAGGATAGGCAATCATGGTTCAGTGTCTACATTAAGCACTTTCTACTGTAAGAACATAGATTTAAACAGTTTCCCTGGATTGTGAAAAATACAGATTTATAAATTATGATTCATAGGCTGGCTCTGATCTAGCAGATATAAGCACTCCAAGAAATTGTAGTCTGGCTCCTGAGAAAATATACTCCAAAGCTATATTTCCCTGCTTTGGGGAAGAAATGTTTTAATGCAAGACTATGGCTGACTCAAGTAATTCACCCTGTTATGTGGAAGCCAGCTTGGTCCTACCGCAAATGCTGTGATGCCCAAGTACATCCTTTGCCTCCACCCTTCAAAGGTACCTGTAATAATAACCAGGGCAAAGGCTGCGAATCCAGCATCGTCCCTTCCCTCTACGATCTGCGCTCCCCCCTGAGGGTCGGCGAGGAACACATAGAAGAACTCCTGCCCCTCGGGCTCCTCATCGTCCACGATGGGAATCGACACTCTCCGTTCTCTTTCTCCATCTAGGAACGTGAGGGTCAGCATTTGCTCCTCGAAGTCATCCTCCTCCACTGCCCAGCTCAGGTTGGCCATCCTGGTGGCATCCTGAAAGGGCAAAGCATGTGGCTCCCTTTGAGCACACCCTTCTCCAAAGGTTCTAACTGTGATGCTGACATTTCCGGCAAATCCACCTGTCCTTCGGATGAGAATTTCTGCAGTACTGATTGTGCCATTTTTCATCTCCTCTTGCACGTAAACAATGGCAGGTCCAATACTAAATGTTCCGTGGATGGAAACACTGGCTACAGCAGGCCGGTCAGCCAAGGTGGATGTCCCATGGAGGGTGACAAGTTTCTCAGGGGTGGCAGATGTACCAGATGCCTCAGTAACAATGGCAACCATGTCAGTTGCCTGTGGAAGGGCAGTTGTCCTGCCTGTCCCAGGCTGGGTGGTGGTGTGGGTGTCTAGGGGGACGACAGTGCTGTCAGCTGCCACAGCCACACCTGTCGTGGGGACAGAAACATCTGTGCCTGCTGGGTGGTCGTCATCCAATATTGTGATCACTGCAACCCTGAAATCTAGGTTCAGGCGTGGTCGCCAATTGGCATCCAACTTTTCTAGTCCCTTCATTTCCACAGAAGTGAGATTAATGTAAAAAATTTCTTCCATCTCAGGAATCTGATCATTAATAATGGTTATCTCAAAATCAACCTCTGCTTGGAATTTGTGAAAGAACATTTCCCCGCTCTGAATCAGCTCGAAGTCTTCCACGGGCTGGGCGCTTCCTGCAGCTGTCTCATAGGAGACCCTAATAAGATCACCTTGGAACCCGTAGAGCCTCTGCACTCGTAACCTGACCAACCGGGCATCCTCCAACACCGTCACGTTTCTTGAACTAGGGGAGAACTGGAAGATTCCTGTCGGTTCAATTTCAGCAGTGGTGAAACCTGGCCTGAAAAAAATTAAACCATGAGAATTGATTACATAAAAGATTCCTGTTCTATATATTGAAGATGCTGCTCATGACAGGAGCACCTCAGAAATGACACGATCTTTCACGCCATCAAATCCTACTGCTGAGAGCACAAGGTCCGCGCAGAAGCTGTCGCCCAGACAGCAAAGAGCAAGGTGTGGCCGAGGGAGGAGCTGAGCCCCTGCGACCCCGTGATGGAGGAGGTGGCTCTCGGATCAGTACAGGAGGGTGCTTCCTGCTTCCTGATCCAACACGTGGGAATATTTACTCGTGCCAAGAGAAAATTCTTCTTCCAGTGTAAACAACTGACTGTTCTCTCATAAAGTTATATGTAAACCTCAAACTTTATAAATTGGAAGAAACAGCAGTGAAAAAACGTATCCTACAGACTATGTTGTGAATCAGTAATTATATCAGAAGCTACAGTTGGTGGCCAGTCAGCCTAATTCCGATCACAGAGATTTTCCTGCTTAAGCTGTTGTTAATACAGTAAGAATGTACACATAAATGAAGGAGGACGTGGTCGTTCCCATCCCTGTTGTCATGTCGCTGTCACTCAGCACACACGCGATGGTTCAGTGCTCTGACCGTGGCTAGGGGGTCTGGTTTCCAGTGAGGGCCACAACACGCAGCTACGTGGTGAGAGGCACATTATAGGATGTGGAAGTCACGCTCCGCAGCAAGCAGATGAGGTGAGTGGTAGCATCCACCTCAAACGGTGCTGTTGGGAAGAGTGGGGTGTACGCGTGTCTGTGCATTTTGGTGTGATCTAGATATACACAACTTTAAGCAATGGCTTCTTTGGAGTAAGCAAGTTTTGACTTTGCTCTCCGGACAATTACTTTCTAAACATACACGTATAATGGCTAATCTAACGCCCTGCTTGATTCTACCAATGACAACTTTCCCTCATAAGCAGGCACACTGAGATCCTTGAATACACACACTGGTTTTGCCCACATATTTTCCCATTTTTAAAAATAAGTCAAAAAAAGGCCAGAAAGACCGAGCAACCTTCCCCCAGCCATGTGACAAGAGGCACAGCCAGGACTGAACCCACAGCAGGCTTTTCCGTCTGTTCGCTGTGGTTCGGGCTAAGCCCATCTCGGGCATGAAGCGACATCCTGAACTGCAGCAGGCGAGGGCCCAGAGTCCTCGTAGATAAAACAGTGAAATATAATGAAATCAAATTACACTCAAAACAATTGCTGGTTTAAACAAGTCACACTGCTACACCATGTGATGCCTTGTTCTTACTCCTCAAAACTGAGGGAAACGGAGTGTGCTAAGCTCCCCTAAGGACAGAGGAGTTCGCCAGCAGGTATGTGGTGTCCGTGTGACGCAGGCACATGTGTGCTGGGCCAGCAGCAGGAGAAGCCACCTCCCTCGCCCTCTCCACAGTGCCCAGCGCGCTCTGCACCCAAGCTGCCCTTACCGAAGCCGAGCGCCGCCCGGGGCGCTGCTCCGCACGCTGGCCAGGTGGATGACAAAGGCCTCCGTGCGGCCTGCGCTGGGGAGCATCCACAGCGACACCCGCTGCCTCCCCTCACCGTGGGCGAAAGCCAGGCTCCCTGGGAGGGGCATGAGAAGGGAGGAGGGGTCAGCTTGGTCTTAAACACAAATCTGACTCTTAAACGTGTGAGTAATGCTTTGCTTCTCCAAAATTTAATGAAATGTAACACAGTACAGAGAACATTCCCAGAAAACCCAAGGCCACACAAACCCTACTCCCGTTCCCTGTCTACTCTTCCTGTTTCTTTCTTTTTCTTTCTGGGCTCAACTACCCAAGCCAGTAGTGAAGGGGGAAGGATGAGACGAGCGCTGGTTTGTATCTGCCACCAGGCTTGAGCTTGGCGAAATAGATGTATCGTAGTTTTGCTAACTTCAGGCAAGGCACATATAACACGGGAATATGACTAGTTACAACCATTAATCCTAGCCAGTGAGTTTACAGTGTTTGTTATGCTTTTCACTGAGTTTAAACATTTATTTAAAAGCTAATCAAATCTATTTGAAGGTAGAGATCTATTGCTTGAGAACTCCTGTTATTTTAGTTTACTCAAGGATATTTAGGTTCATTATACAACTCAAGATTGGTTTTGTATATAAGCACAGCCTCATATTTAAAGGATGATGTTTCCACATGCAGAATGTAAGTGGTTACTAATACAAAAAAGAGTTTTTCAAAAGCTCTAAGTTATACAAAGCTGTGTCTACCACCCAGAGCAACAGAAAAGGCAAGGGGTGACAGACAGGTGTCACTGCAGAAAGAAGGGCCCAGAAGACAAGTACGACACTTGGTGAGGCAGCTTGAATTTAAAGCACGTGCTGCAAGGAAATTATTTTCAGGGCTCCCAGTGCCAAGGATCCTTTGGCTGTGGTGCCAATCAAGCACCTAAATCCACACTGCACCTGAGGATTCTCCTGTTGGGACAGCAGTCAGCAAGGCTGCATGGTCATCAGGGTCCTGAGTCCTCCCTCCCATCTACTCAAGGACTCCTGCTTTCCCTCAGTTTCTCAGCTGACCGAGACCTAGGAACATTCACACCATCTCCCTGAGAGATGGGGTTCACACTCTGGCTATGTCACTGGGTTTCTGACTACTGGGGATGGCGGTGACCAGCAGGATGTGGTGAGAGAAAGCCAGGAGCCCAGGGCTCTCAGCCACCCCATCATCTGCAGGACAAGGTCAGGCTGGGAAACTCTGCACCTCAGCAGCCCTCAGAAGACTCCTGGCATAGTTAACAAAATAAAAAAACAAGCTATCTGGCTCCCAGAATTCAGAAGAACAGCTAAATGGACTCAGCCATATCTTTTTATTTATTTATTTATTTATTTATTTTATTACTGTGTTGGCCAAACTAGGTTTTTATTACTGCTTTTTAATAAGCTCCTCATGTACTGACCAAGTACATAAGGATCACTCTTTTGAAGTAAGAAATGCAAGAGATTTTTTTTTTTTTTTTTCCTTCAGAAAGCCTCCTCTTGGGCTGGGGAGATAGCTCAGTAGAAAAGCGCTTGCCTAGCAAGTGCATGGTCCTGAGTTCAAACCCCAGTACCTCAAAACAAAACAAACCAAGAAAGTCTCCACTCTATCAAGCAGCATGTGAGGCCCTGAGCACATCCACACGGAAGCACCACATTAGAAACCATCTGGTCGGTGTCCAGAGGGAGGGAGACCAGCATGGTGAACCAGGACACTACGTAACCCACAGGCCCGCGCACGAAAGCCCACTCACCCAGCACAGGGGTCATGTTGCCAATGACCACAGGCTCGGGGATTGCCCAGCCAGGAGCGTAGCCAGTGGTCCAGGCCACCACAAGCACACCAAATGTGCCCCTCCTGGAGACGGTCACCTGGCTCCTGCCACCAGTGATGTCTGTGAGCCTGACAGCCGTGGATTCAAATCCAACCTGAGGAAATACGTGTAGAGGGTTTTTCCTCTCTCCAAAGTGACTTGGTTTCAGAAAGTGGGTTAATGTCAACTTTCCCCTTTTTTATAGAATACGTTTTTGCCTGGTATTTCAATGAAAGAAAAACACGAAATGACATCTGCCATTTGAAAAATTATTCTATTTTATAATTCTATACTCTAGATTTTTCTCTCATTAAAAATAATTCTTAGAATGAACAATATCCAACAAAAGCAAATGTAATTACAGTTAAATGAAAGCAAAAGATTTAAATTGGCATTTTAATACAAATTGTTCATATGAAAGCCTGAGAGAATGTTTTCTTTCCATGTGACTCTCCCTAGGCACACTATTCATCATTGATCATATTTCTCTGTGGCCCCATAATCTTGATCAGAAAATTTGGGGCACAATTGAGTTACATGATATTACAGTCCAGGTTCTCCTATGTCCCGAGTCTTCACTGAGCTAAAAAGGCTAGGGCCAAAATGCTGGTTGTCCTTGCAGCCCTTCTTTTTTTCTAATTTTTGGTCTGCAAACTTAGGTTGTTAACCCTCCAGAGAGAAGCTCATTAACACCCTACAACATATGCATTTGGGTTTAACTTCACTATCTGTCTGAATATGAAACATCTTAGGCATAACATGGAACAGGTATTTTCCATCAAGTATTGATATGTTAAACTTTAAGTTCCTACAGAATATGAAGAAAAAAATTTAAAAATATGAATAAACAATTATATATTTTTACATAGAAATTTAGAAATCTAACCATATACAGCATTGTAGCAGGACAGTCCTGTGACACTTTTTTTTGGTCTCTTTTTTTTCATTTATTACCTTTTTTTTTTTAAACATTTACTTGAGAGACAATATGGCAGTAATTGGTATGTCATGACAAGCAGTACGTATTTAGAAGACCAGAATGGCAGGCACTCCAAGCATGACCCCACCATTACACATTGCTATCCTCAGTGTAGTTGCTTAGTTCACAAGTATCAGCATACATACTTAGGGTGAGAAAGTTGGGTAAGGCAATGATCCTGAGAAACATCAGCAAATTTCTGAAACTATAAGTTAATTGAAAAATTATTTTTATATCATGTATATATTATGTCTACTTTGATATTCATAGGACTAAGTCAATTTAGGGAACCAGTTTATCTTCAGAAGTTCTCTAAACACTGGACCCTTCCCGGGAAAGATGCCCTCTAGTGGCGCCTGGCGAGCACCACACCCAGAGGCCTTACCTGGGAATTGGCAGCACTCTCTGGGACAGGAAGGACAGTGGACTTGGCTTCCTGGAGAATTCTTGGACTGCCACTAAAAGGTGCACCAAGGAGCGTCACGGTCACCAGCTGCAAGGTGAAATTGGAGCCCAGGGACAGAAAGACCTGGAAACAAAAGCCAGAGGGTTTTTCTTTTAGGAGTAAGAAATAATCAGGTTAAAATAGTGACGTTTGCTGGAGCCATTAGCAAATTGCAGGTCAGTTCTGCTCCTTGGCAGCAGCTTCATCTGTCTCAAAGCAAAACACCAGCTAAAAGTGTGTGGCAGACACCACCAGTCATGAAGCATGGACACAGAACTTGCAAATCTTGCACGCACAGGCCAGTCAACTTGAGGATGACAGGAATTGGGCGGTGTCCACACGAGAGCCGTGTCAGGACTAAAGGTGCTCACTGTTGAACAGTGTTTGCTCCTACACACAGCAAAGCCCGCAGGTCCTCCCACTGAGTGATAACCGATGGCTCTCATGGCAATGACTCAAGGTGGGAAATGACTGAGGTGTCCTGGTTACTTGGATTTTTCAGATTTATAAAAATAAAAACCACTAACGCCATCTCCTAGGTTACCAGGTTACCAATGCTCACAATTTTAGAATCTAACAAAAGAGGGGGAAAAATTTTTGAACTTCCCAATTGATGCAATAGGAAAAGTATTTTTTGAACAAATAGTTCATTTTCCCACAGAAGGGAATGGCCAGCACCCAGACTACCCCGTTTCAGGGCAAAGCCTTAAACTTCTACACCTTGGAAAACGCACCCATGTCTGTGAAGCAGCTCCCTCTCCCCTCCTCCTCTTGATTATTTTTACGGTGATGCCAAGGGCCATGCAAAGGGCCTCAGTTACCCTGGGCAAGTGCATCCCAGCCCTGAGTTGATCCTAAATATAATGAAGATAAGCACATGGCACATGCTCTAATATATCAATCAGAGATCATATGGGTTCCAAGCACAGCGCCACACAAGCTTAAGTGGCTTTTCATTCATTCAAAATAACACTCACTGAACATGAATTTGTGCCCAAGTGCTAAGGAATCCCATCCCAGCAGCATAACTTTGATCGTGTGCATCCCATCACACCTGCCGTATCAGTGTCCTTTCCCCATGCCGATCACTGGCTTCCCAGCCAGTGAGACTATACTCTGAAGGCCAAAGAGGTCTCATCTTCCAGCATGGGTTGCTTCCCTCTTTCCACACAGCTCTCTGCTGGGCCCACCCAGAATGCCCGACAAGGGCTGCTGCCCACCCCCGCAGTACAGGAATTCAACAAGAAAGCTGACCATGAGCCACCAAACAGCTGATACAACTACAAAAGAAGAGTAGTTAGACGAGGCAGTGGGATAGTGCTAATCCTGTTCTCCAGCATCCCCTATATTCCCAACCCAGGACTATTTGATGTATTTCCCATGGTTCATGGTGGCACATAACCTCCTGTGCACACTTCCCACCCTTGCTTACCCACGTCTCCTCTCATGTGCTAGCCAGAAAGCATGTGACAGAAACTGGGCCTCATCTTTGTATCTTCAGAGGTTTCAGTGAAGGACACAAGAGTCGGCACTCAATAAATGACCCCAACCAAACTGTGGAAGGCCTCCTGCGGTCTGCCCTGCAGCTCTTTAAGCCTGGACTTGTCCCTGCAGAGAGCCAGAGATTCTCTCTGCGCTTCTTGGAAGCCCAGTTGTGAGCAGGTGTGATAACAGTACACACCCCAGGGTCCTAGTGCTGAACCGACAAGGGGGCCTTTTAGCTTTCGGAGCCCAAGGGACCCTCTCTCTGCACAGAGACCCACTCGGAGGTGAGAAGTCACAGTGCAGGTGTGTAGGGACAGCATGACCTTTGGTGACCTCTGAGGCCAACCTCCCTTAGCTTTTACCCATGGAGCAGGGGACCTTGAGAATTCCCTGTCCTGTTTATGGGCACATCACCCTTTTCCCCAAGCAATCACCTCGAAAAACTCACTCAACCCAGCCTAGAAATTGATGTGCAGTCTTATTCCACACATCCAGAAACGTGACAGGAGCCCTGCCACCTGAAACAGGTTATGGACAGGCGTCACAGAGAGCCAAGGAGCAAGCTCTGGCGCGTGCACCAGCCAGCACACTTCTATGACTCGTTACCGAAGCTAGAAGCCACAAAACAACTCAAGTAATAGAATTCACACAAAACCCAAATATGGCATTAGGAAAAATAAGCATCTTTATGAAGTGCACAGACAAGCTTTGCAATGAGATGAAGCGAGCGCTGCTGGTCTTCAACATGTACGAGGTGGTAAGATGAGCTAAGATCCGGGTAGGTAGCAGACGTCACACATTCTGATTTTCCCATCGCGTAGCAAAGCATAATTTCGCTGTGGCAAGGCATGCTGGTTCATGAAACTGACATAAAATACATATCTACTCCTTGAAAAGTTAGAGGAAGGTCTCTCCGTGCCCTAACAGAGGTAACCTGGCTCTGTTCAGCAAGCGGTATGACTGCCTGGAAAAACGTTTTAGGTTACACAGCTTAAACACAATGTGTATTTTGTTTCTTCTGACTGACACTGCAGGTACACTGACGCCCTTTCCTCTTCGGCTCGTGCCCTCTGCTGCAATCTCCACGAGACAGCTGTAGCACACGCAGCGGTCAGGAACTGGGAAGTCAGGGTCACGACCTCGAGCGAGCGCTTCAGAGGATGCCGGTATGTGAGAGCAACAAGGAAACGTACATCCCACTGAGAAACCCCTTGCATAAGACCCCAATAAAAGTAAAGCACTAGGTGCACAAAAGGTTTAAAAGGTTGTGGAGCCAGAACCAGCATGAAGGGATTGTTGCTCGTTCAAATAGCAGCTTATTTTCTGTTGATTGTGTTTATATTAAACTTATGTAAAATAATAGGGAACTACCTCCTGTTTTCCTGGTTAGTGCTTTCTGAGGCCTCTCTCCACTACCCTTTGGCAACGCGGGCTGATTTCAAAGCTTTTTGGCATTTTCAGGAATACAAGGTGATGCCCTACATGGATTAAAACTTCAACCTCACATTCAAAGTGGCCCAGTTCCTCCCTACTCCTGCCAGACCCACAGCTCAGGAGCAAATGTGGAAAGGAAAAATGTTTTAGGTTACTTAATTTATACACAATGAGTATATATTACTATAACCATTCCTTCCTCTTCCACCTTTCCACAGATCTCTGGTACTTCCAGACTGGGGTATGGGGAAGGTCTCCTTGAGGCAAAGTGACCCAAGTCTCGCTTCTCTGCTCCAGCTCCTCGCTGGCTGACAGTGCTGGCCACCTTAGCCTATGAAGGCAGCACCACCACGGAACTGGCTGGGCTCCTCAAAGCCCCAGAGTTCCACCTCCAGCACCTCTCAGCAGTGAGACCACCTGGCTACTTTCTGGGCTGCCTTCCGTCACCAGGAGATAAAATCCCCCATGCCATCATTATCCCAATTAATTAACATATGAAATACATTAACCTCTCTCTTATCACACAAAATCTATGAAATGTTCCATCTTTGGGAACTCAGACAGAGTCTCTCACTCACAGTATGCAGGCCCTGACCAAGCAAGACTGCTGGTATACCCTGGGGCCCACAAGAACGCACGAATTCTCTTTCTCCTCATTTTCAGCCCCAAGCTGGCACTGTGATGTGCTGCCCACCGCTGGCCGTCTCCACAACCCACAGCCATCCTCCACAGCTCCACGCTGCCCAGAGAAAGCGGAAGAGCAGACATGAGCCTCTAGCTGCGCAGCCTCTCACGCAGGGGGCATGTCTCTCACACTGCACTGTCCACCCCACAAGCACTAAGTAAGTTCAAGCTAGAATCCAGACACACCTGCACTATATCCTTTTGGGAATATATTTACTCATTGGAGAGCTGCAGATGCGTTACCCAAAATGCTATAGGCCCTCTAAAGTTTCATGAAAACATCTGAGTGAGGCTTTGATCTGATCAAGAGACAGGCAAGGGCTCTCCGAAGGAGGTCTAGCAGAATGCCCTGGACACTGCAGTACTGCCACACACCTGGTTCTTTATTGGCACTGTGTCCACTTTACACGTTGCGCCATCTTCAACCACCAGCTGCCCTTCCGCATGCTCAGTAGCAACTGGCTGTTCTTTAAGCTCAGACAGAATCTGAAATTTAACAGCCACATCTCCAAAGGTTCCAGCAAGCCGGGTTACATTAATGTGGATGGATCGCACGAGGTTCTCCCCGATAAGTATCGACTGGTGCTCTGCATACAGGGCAAACACTCCGTGAGGGTCATCATTGGCCGCCACGGAGAACCATGCGATGCTGTTGCCCAGGTCCAGCTCTGCTCCTCCCTGGACAGAAACCAGCTGGATGGCATATGATTCTTCCGTCTCGGGAGTGTCATCCGGCAGCAAGTGAACGTCAAAGCTCGCTTCGCTCTCACCATCAGCAATCGTGAAGATGCCACTTGTGGAAAGAAAGTCTCCAGCGACATCAAACTCACTACTCAATTCCCAGTAAACCTGAAAAGGAAAAAAAAAAATTCAGCAGAATTATATAATTTGGTATACTCAATCACAAACCTTGAAATGTTTTCCTAAAATATATAGAAAGAAATTTTAATTATTCAGTATTAACTTCCAAGCCAAACCCTTGCAGTGTGTGTTAATAGCTCCTTGGGGTCGCCATATGCAACTCAGGTGAAGACGTGGCCCAGTATATGGGGCTGCTGGGTTCTCCCTCAGCACCACGGACAGAAAAAGACCACGGAATCTCATTATGTCACCTGCTCCTGAACCAGCTGTATTGTATAATTTAAAGAGATAAATAAAAGCAAGTTAATTTTAAGATGCCAGTTCCAAAAATACATCCATTGGTGAACCATAAGCAATATTATAAGCTAGAAAGTAAGTAGATGATTGGGCAAGTTCACATTAAACAACATATCAAGGATTAGTCGTTATTTTCCAAGCATTGTTGGCCTATAAGCTATCCAGTTTCAATGAAGAACAACCCATCAATCTCAAAAACAAGTATACTTGCAGTGCTCACTTTGGCAGCACATATACTAAAACAAGCATAACTGCAAACAAATGGTCTTGATGTTAACCAAACACCATGAGAACGTCCAAAAGCATCACCAGTCTACATCCAGGGTTACATAAATGCAACCCCTTAAAAAGTTACCAAATGGGAAAATTCTCCTGGGAAAGAAAGCCAAGAAGAACAAACAACTTTTAAAAATATCATTGAGAAGCTCAAGTCACAGAGGATTAGTACTGCAGCAGACAAAAAAAAAATCTAAAAGTACTTCTTCATGACTCTGCATAAGGAAAGTCTTTTTCAAAAAAATATAACCAAGTTTAAGTTAAAGAGCTTCAGTGAACTAGGGTGGCATGAAGTGCAAAGAGCAAAAGTCCTTAAAGAAAGCATCTCCGCTTCTCTGCAAACTCAAGTGACCTCAGCGTACCAAAACTTTTAATTAGAAGATGTACATATGTGCACACAATGAAATGTCAACCAGCCCACTGAGGAGAGCACAATCATGGCACGCACAGGAAAATGGGACAGAACCGGAGACCGTCGTGTTGAGTGAAATAAGCCGGATACAGAATGTTAAATACGTTTTCTTTTATATAAAAAACTTATTAAAGAGAAGATGACAGGGAACCACGAGGCACACTTTTAGAGATGGGGAAGAAATGAGGAAAAGAAAAGGCAAAGAAGAGGCAATGGGGTATGAAAAATTGAGAGCTGTTCAATGTGTGCAGGAATTTACCAAAACCTCATTACCGCATTAATAATATATCCTGAAAATAAGTAAAAGTTGAAACATGCAACTTCTCCCTCCCACCCACATTGGTTAGAAAAATTAGTACTCAGAAAAAAAAAAATCAAATAAAAATAATACCGTGATTTCTCCAAAAGTGCCTTTGACTCTTTTGACAAAGAAAGTTATGACCAGTGGCCCTTCTGTGGCCAGCGGCTCCAAATAGGTCTTCCCAATTGTGGACTCAGGGACAAAGGACACAATACCATTTGGGTCACCAAACTTTCCAATCTACAGTGATAAACAGAGAACAGCAATGACACACAGAACAATTGCAGTGTCCACACATTAACATACAGACAAGCCAGGAAATGAACTTGAATATCATCTGCTTAGTCACTTGATTTGTAAAAGCTTTTTACTATCCTGTTGTCTACATGAGTACATTCTGGTCCTCCAAAGATAATGTGAATACTATTCTGAAAGCTACAATTTGTAGAATGCAAAACAGCACTTTGCTGCCTGAATTTTGCTTTAATCCTCTTACATTCTCTGTATTTCACCAGTAATTCTTAGTTAACTGGCACAAAGCAGACAGAGGCAGAAAGGCCCTGTGATGGTTCTGTTCTTGTGCCAAATGGGCAAGGAGACGATGCTTGTCTGTTCGGCCAAACCATGGCCCAGACACTGCTGTGACATGATTTAGGCGTAGCGAGCATTATCTAAATAAAGGAGATCTCCCCCCTGTAATGGGGGTAGGCGGGGTCTCACCAGTCAACTGAGTTTTCCTGCACAAGGAGGGATTCTGCCTCCAGACTCACGGAGGGACCCTCCCGGGGTTTCCAGCCTCCCAGCCCCGACCCGAGTGTGGCTCACAGCCACTGCTGCAGCTCTTTCCCGAGTTCCTCACCGTCAGCCTGAGATTTTGGACAGGCCGCCCTCACCGCCCCACAATTGCCTTAAAAGCTTCCTCTCTCCTTGCGTGTGCTCATGTGTGCGCAGGCACGTGTGTGTGTGTGTGTGTGTGTGTGTGTGTGCATACATGTGTGCACGTGTCCTACTGGATCACTTTCTCTGAAAGTCTGACTGATACAGATCCCACACAAGACTATTTTTCAAACTTAAAACACCCACAGAAATGGTATGTCGGCAATCTTGATTCCCAGGGCTTTCCGCCCCCGTGACTGCATGACTCACATCACATATGCGGAATCCAGGCCCTGCTACAGCACTGAGCCACTGAGCTAAACGAACAAGGACCATTTTTTATTCAAACAGACTGACTCACACCTAGTCAGTGACATTCAAATACTTTGATGGCAAAGACTGTTAGTATTTATCATGAGGTAACAAATATGTCCACCCTAAAATTGTCAAGTGTTCCCCGAATGCCAAACGTACTCAAGGACTGTATGATATGTATTGTTACTCTACTAAAACTTCTTTAGAAATATTATTAATAACAATGTAATTAACAAACAAAAACCAGAGGGTTTGACCCCCCATGGGAGTGCCTGTGATCTTGTGCAATTTTATAATTTTTAACTCAGAGTAAACATGTAGAGTTTCAAATAATGACAAAGTATTTTCTGATAAACGTATTTAGCCCAAAATGTAGGAAAAATCAAGTCAAGCTTACCGTTAATGCAACGGCGTTAGCTCTAGAGTCTAATCTAGCTTCTCCTTTCACAAGCTGTAGCTGAACTGTAAACGTCTCCTCCGGCTCTGTTGCGTTGCGTGGGGGGATGGTCAGGAGGATGCTTCTCACGCCTCCCTCTCCGTCCGCAAAGTACAAGGAGCCATTCATGGGCTGGATGTCCCGATTGTGGGGTGACCAGGCCTCCTCAGAGTTGGGGCCCTCGATGCGCCAGTCTACCTGCAGGTTGTTCAGGGTTTTGTCTTTAATATAGATGATCAGTATTAAACAATGGATTACTGCAGTAGACATACATTAGAAAAAAATGTACATATGTAAGAAACTTTTAGGAAATGTGCATCAAATTCTTACAACATTAACTTATTTTTGTTAAAAATAATGGTATTTGCAAATATAAACTATGTGCCTATAGATATCAGTTTTCATGGGTAAAATTAATACTAAATTAAAACTACGAATACTCAGTCATTAAAATTATAATCACATTAACAAAAATTTCTTATAATATATATAAAACCATATGCAGAGAGACATTTTTAAAATGTAGGAGAGCAACACTGTCTTGCCATGCACACAGATTCTGCCAGTCAAAATGTACTGGACGCACCGGATTACGCACCTACACAGGGAAGAGCAGGGACAGGGGTTCAATCCCTAGCACCACATGCTGTGCCACCACTCCCCCACCACCCCCAGAGTGGGCTGAGCCGCACTGAGACCCTGCACGATGGCGCATACCTATCAGCACTGGGGAGGCTGAAAACCGGAGGATCACTACTAGCCCGAGCTACATAGCAAGACTCTACCAAATGTATTTAAAAAAAAAGTACTGGAATAAACCAGACTATGCAAGTTGTTCATGCAGCCTTCTCTAAATATACTGAAATTGTTACTGAAAATAAAGAAAAGTCTTCACACATCATTCTCAGCAACAGCTCTTCGGATTTGCAACAGACAGATTTGCTTCTAGAGGCCCCTTGCAGGTCCCGGACCGTAGTTCTAGTCTAGATTAGGACAAGCTTCTGAATCACAGGACACAGCGCTACGGACATCCAGCTCTGCTGCTGGACATCCTGACGGCTCAGTCCCCCACTAGGCCCCGAGCCTTCCCCCCAGGACTCAGCTAGCCCTGCTCGGCTTTGGCATCCCCTCAGCGCTTAACAACTCCCAGGCCTCAGATGGACCTGCTGCCTTCTGGCGACCTGCGAGCCCGCCCGAGGACCTCTGCCACCCAGAGCCCCTGCTTCATCCAAAGCCCTGCCCTGACAGTTCTCGGTTAGACTCTGACCCTCCCACAGGGGCACAGCAGGCAGGAGGGTGGGAGGGTGCTGCTAAGCCTAAGTGGTAGGGTGCAGGCCCAGAGCTCCAGGCCTGGGTTCTAGCTCAGAACCACCGAAAGGGGTTCTGCTCGCCTAGCAGCCGGTCGAAGGCTTGCCTAGCAAGCCGGAAACCCTAGGTTCGGTCGTCAGCACCAAAAACAAGAAATAAACCTCCCCTAAAAAACAATTCAGGGGCCGGGAAGACAGCTCAGCAGAATAAGCGCTTCCCTGGCAAGTGCAAGGGCCTGAGTTCAGTCCCCGATTCTGCAAAATAAAAAAAAAAAGAAAAAGAAATTCAACCAAAAAAATACAGTAAAATCAAAAAAGACTAAAAACAAATAAGGCAACAGAACCAGCCAAAAACAAAAGGTGGCCGGCAAGAGAGTCCACGGCTCCCACTTTTATGAACAGTTTATTACCGTCAGTTTCCTCACTAGTTTACTGTTCAACTCTGCTTATTACAACGACCAGTGCCATGATCTCAGCACTCGGGAGGCTGAGGCAGGAGTACTGCTGTGAGTTCGAGGCCAGCCTGAATTACACATAGCGAGACCTTGTCTTAAAAACAAAAAAGGCCAGCCTGAGAACAGAGATGACGCCTAACTCACGGTACAGGCTCACTCACTACCTAACTCGGGGCCGCTCTCAGAAATCACTCAATGCATCCTTGCTTGACTGGCCCATAAATCATGCGCTTCATTTCCAGGGGCTCTCAGAGTTCTGGGGAGCGGCGGTGCGCCCCCGCGCTCTCAGGCACTTCGCCAGGCTCCTCTGTTACTCTGCCTTCCGAAGACAATGAACAAGAAGCATTTATCAATTATCAATTGGCCACGAAGTCCACGTTGGGAACACGCGAACCCAACGCCACCAGCGGCCTGCTGGCGCCGGCTCCGAAAGCCCGGGAAGCGCAGCCCACCTGGACCTCTCCGCGGAGTCCTCCGGTGCGCTCGAGCAGCAGGGACAGCGGCGTGGCGGCGCCCGGGTTGGGGAGCGACACGGCGCTGGCGTTGAGGAAGCGCACCAGGCCGGCGGGCGGGGCGCGGCCGGCCACGCGGAGCCTGCTCTCCAGGTGGCGCCCGAGGAGCGCGCCGCCCGTG